TCCGTGGATGTTTTGTTGCCCTTGTCTAGCTTGGATTAATACTTAGTCTATAGGCACACACCTGATCATCTACATTTGCCCTCTTACAGCACTAAATTATGTTTTCTACCTTTATCTTGCATCTACCTACCACCTCAGCATTTCATTAAAAAATAAATCAGTGAATAAGGGAGAAATGTGGGATTCACATATAAATCAAGTATAAAAATCAAATGAATAATCATATCTGACTTGATTGCTTATAGTTCATGAGGCGTGATCAAAACCGAAAGTTTCTGTGATATGACTGCCCTTGTACTATTCACCATGTAAGAACTTTTTCACTATGTAAGAACTTGTTCACCATGTAAGAACTTGTTCGTTATGCTTCAGAAGATTGGAGACTGTTGAGAATTAGGCTTGGGGTTGATTAATGACTGTGCATTGAGTCCCCTATACAGAATTTCATTGTTGTTAACAACCATTTGATCAATAAATATGAGAGATGCCCTCTCAAAAAAAAAAAAAAAATGACACCTCCTTTCTAACAACAAAATTTTTCATCATCCTTTCTTGCCCAGAACATCACCTTCTTTCCCTACAAAGGATGGCTTTTCTTTCATCTCTGCTCTATTTACGCAATTCAAGACTAACTCAGTCCCCTTGGTGGGGAATTCCCTCTCTTTCTTCATCTTACTGATGCTTCTTACCTCACATCTTCATTTCTCACTTTTTTGGAACTGCCATCTTGCCAACACCCACCCTTTTAGTAACAGACACCTTACATTTCACTTACTCTGAACAAATTAATTCAGCTGATACAAAACTAATTTTCATCTACATGGGGGAAGATCTGTAGCTATGCAGTTTAAAATAGCCCAGTCGTGGTCTTCCACCATTCACAAAGCTAGGCAACAAAACTCTTCCCAAAGTCAAGGTCACATAGAATAACTGCTATACCCCCAACCACACTCCTTCAGCAATATCTAGCAGCCTCCTGAAATTGCCTATAAAATCCAGTGGTTCCATTTTCACCAAAGAAAAATGAACCACTGCCTTCCCAAAGACATTCTCTGGTCTCCCCACAGCCAACTTTAAATGGAATGATAAACAGAAAGATGGAAATTCAAGCTGGTGCAAGCTTTTTTTTTATTACCCCCTCCCCACCTCAGTCCCAGCAGACTATCAGCCCTTAAACTTGCTTTATTTACCTAAGACAGATGTGCAAGACTGAGAAAAGACTGGCTTCTTGAGGAATCTTTAAGGGACTTGAGGTCCAATGCCTGTTCACCTTTAACTGGAAAACATAGGTTATTTAAACGCTGTGTTCATTCTGACTTTTTCACTCTTCTTCAAAGAACTGAATTTATCTCAAGCTGTCTACAAATGATTCCATAACCTACGGATAAGTCTTTCTTGCCCAGTTGATGATAAAGTATAAGATACAGTAACTCAGAAACCTCTCAAAGCCAACTGATCTTCCCACTAAAATGCCTACCACTCTCTCAGTCTGCTTTTCATCGTATCTTACCAATACCACTCTCACAGTATTATTTCTGGTCTTTACTACCCACCATTGCACTACACAGCTTCATCTTCCCAATACATAGCTATGAACATGAGAATTTCCTTCTTCATGAATCACCTCAAATTCTCCATTGTCCACCCTTTTTAACTATAACTTAAAGATCATGATTCAAGACCCTCTCAAATATGGACAACTTATCAAATTGGCTTTCCTTGATCACCATGTCTATATAAAACAACATGTCTTTATCTTGGTTGATTTTTCTTCCTAATATTTGTTACCACCTGATAAATATACTTACCTATTCATGTTTATTGACTATATCCTTCTACTAGAATATACCTCCCCTGTTCACCACTGTATTCTCAGTGCCTAGAATATAGTGAGCTCTCAATATGTATTTGTGTAAAGAAAGGTTGAACCCAGACAAGCTGCACAGTACAGCTGATAAGGACTTATAAGACCTACATTGGAGTTACAGAGCTTCCACATATCAGCTACATGACCCTCAACAATTTTAACTTCTTTGGGCTATACTTTTCCCATCTGTAAAAGGAAGGGGTCAAACTTAATATATACAATTTAAATTTTTCTGGCACATCACCCTGTAGTCTTCTTTAACTGGGAGAGATGGGGCAGAACATCTCTCCCAGCTCCCAACCTCCCTATCTATATAACTGCCAGTTTCCTTTCATCTGGATTCCCCTCTTCTCAGTCCACAACTATCAGAATATTGTTTATCCTTAAGGTACAGTGTAAGTGTCTTTTTCTCCTTGAATCCTAACAAACTGTCAACTCTGTAAGAGCACAGTGGAGTTCTTTTTCATTCTTAACAGTGGTGCAATGCCACCCATTTAGGTGATCAAAAAAAATGACTGATGAACCATAAGAATATGAGTGAGCATATGAACAAACGAAGTTTTTACTGATTTTCCCCAACTGCTCAGATAATCTGCCTTTGGGCTGCTTTAACACTTCGCCTCATATTTACCATATTTTCTTCAGTGCTGTTATTAACTTACTTGCATAGTATACTAAACTGCAAATTCCTTTAAATTAAGGACTATCCTAATAGTTTCTATATCCCCCCTCTACTTCATCCACCATAGATCTTTGCCACAGTAAGTTTATCTCATATGGTAAACAGTAAAGAGATAACAGAGGAGACAAAAAGGACCTCGATGTACCTTTCCAACTATCCCCATAGTCACTGGAACACATGTGTGGATCCTGTCTCTGCTGTAAATTCAGGCATTCAACATTTTAAAGATCTCATAATTCTCTCCACTCTGCTTAATAAAAATATGACTATAGTACTTTCAAAAGTAGAATACCCAACCTCATGTATCACTTACCACATAACTTCTCCTGCAATATACATATAGGGATCCACTCAAAGCATCAATACTTTCACTTCACTAAACAACGAAATAGCAAAAGTGACGTTTCTGCTTATTTCAGACTTCTACCTCATCCAATTCCCCCCTCCACAAGGTATGAAACCACTTTTTAAAAACTTCTTCCTATAAGCCTGTTCTTAGTTCTCCTCTTGAAAGAAAAAAAAGGGCTTGTTTTAAGGTCTTGCTTCCCCTTTTCTAAGCAGTAGCAACTCCCCAGTTAATGTCAGGCTCTAAGAACGTTATTTTTCTCTGCCATCAAGATTTTGACCCTCTTTTACCTCTACTTCCAAGCTCTTACTCTGCTTCCATGACACCTTCCTAGTTGCACAAAAGCAGGTGTCTTTTATTCAATGTGCTCTCATCATCAGGTACTTGGTTCCAAAGTGGCTGCATTTTCCCCACCTTAAAATGTTTATCAATAGCTCTCCTTACTCCACCCCACACACACATCACATATACACAGTCTGTATCCACGCGTCACTCTACGTCCAACATAGAAGTGACTTACATCATTCTTAATGAATGCACACGACTCTCAGAGTGCTATATTCCGACTACACTGATTCTAACCTAGTTCCTTCTGGGGAACCCAACCCCGTCCACAGTACCTCCCTTTTTCCTCACTTCCTCATCCATTCCCTCTTTCTATGCTCCCACCACGCCAACTAACTACAAATGACATTATTCCTCAGTACTTCCAATCCGCACGTGAAGAACAAACTCCAGTTTCCTGCAGTCTCCCTCTCCTCAAGTCCTCCCTCCCCAGAATGCCCCCACCCCGCCCCAGGTGTGCAGACTTCAGCCGGTCTTCCTGTGCATCGCCCCAGCCAATCCCACACCATACCGCGTTTTCCCAGCTAGGGACATCAGACTCCTCCACACCCATCCCCACTCGGGGTCCCCGCCGGCTCCCCGGGCGCCTCACTCTCCCCCCCTCACCAGCTAGCCGGTGACCCCGGGCGCGCGTGCACCCACATTCTCCCTAACATGCTGCCCTAACCTCCTTCTCCGCACCGTGACCAGCCGGCTAGGTTGAAACTCGGCACGGCCCGCGGGGGCTAGGAACCCGTGCGTGTGCCCGCTCCGCCCCCTCTCGCAGATTCCCCTTGCAGCCCCCCGCCTCCGGCTGGGGAGAGAACGCAGCAACTCCCCCGACGCCCCGGACATACCCTCTCTGTCGCTCCAAGCCCCAACCCTCGGCTTGCTCCCCTTTCGTACCGGGTCGGCCTCGACACTCACCGGAGATACTGCGCGCTCTGCAGGCTCATCCTCCGCCGCCGCGTCTTCCCGCGAAGCCTCTGTGGGTCTCTCAGGCTCCTCGAAGCGGCCCCGCGGCCCCGCGGGTACTGGCGGCCGCCGCCATCTTCCTCTCCTCCGGCTCCTCCTCGCTTGGCGGGGGGTGGGGGTGAGTGAGGCGAGGGGGAGGGATCGGGGAAAGCTGCTCTCACTGCTGCTCCGGCCGGTGGGGCGCAGGGACACTTCGACCCGGGAGGGGTGAGGAGAGGGAGGGAAAAGAGAAGAGGGCGGGGAAAAGAGAAGCCCAGGAAGGAAGTCGTGGTCCCTCTCGCGAGACTTGAGGCGCCGGTCCCTCTGGGTGTTTTTCGCTTCTGTAGCGCTCTCTTGGGGTCCTCTAGCTGTGAGCCCTTGTGCTGCTCCTGAGCGGCCCGCTGGAGGCGCTTGGCTGCTTCCGGACAATCCACTTCTCTCCTCCCGCGCGAGAGGGCAAACACAGCCTCTCCAGGTACATCGAGCCCAAATCAGCTGGGAGTTACACTCAAAGTTTTCCGCCGTCTTTCCACTCCAGCCGATTTCTCGCTTCCTTTTCCACTCCTCCACTCTTCCCACCCGGAAACTCCCCCTCTTCCTCCTACAGTTCCTCCCGCCAGTCCCGCGACTCCTCTTCCCTCGCTCCCTTGAGAGCGAAGCCAAGGACCCTTTCTTCTTAACTGCGGCCCCTCCCCTTGCGGGTTGGGAGGTTGTTGGAAGGGATGGGGTGGAGCCCAGGGAAGAAAAGAAAGGAAACCGACCGGATTGGATAAGTAGCTGCCATGGCAACCAGTGGCTGTGGTTGTACTGTCATAGTAACCAGTGTGGGAGGACTGGGTGACCCTCCTTTGGCGAATGATTTCCGGGAAAATGCCCAGGGTTCCCCTTGGCTTCCCTTCCATCTAAAGGCCTCCCCCAAGTTAGGAATCCGGGTGATAATATCGGGGCGGGGAAGTTCACTTCCTCCTCCCTTTCCCCTAACCGCAGCGATTGGGGGAGACCTCGAGGCGTTCACCTAGGGCTTTTCCTCTAGCCTGCGGGCGGGAACTACCTCCATAGTTTCCTCTCCGTGCTGGGCGTGGAAAAGGCCAGGCCTGCGAAGGAAACTCGGGGCCTGAAGCCTGGCGGCGACGGCCTGGAGCTGGGAGGGCGAATGCGCGGCGCGGGGCGGCGGCGCGGGCAAGGGGTTTCCCCACCATTGCCTCCGGCGCTGAGAGGCGGGGTCCCAAGAACGGGGTCCCTGAGGGAGGAGAACGTCGCCCGACTGCCGCGATCCCGGTCCTACCCACAGGGACATCGACTTTTTCCGGAAGGTTGAGCCCTTACAGAAATACCCCAATCCCCATCCCACTCACACCCTGAGCGACCGAGCCTTCTCGGAGTTTCCGTCTGCGGCCGAGCCACCCTGCAGCCGCAAGGAGGCCAGAGTAAGAGTGGGGGCACGTCTTAGAAGGCTCTCAATAGACCTCCCAGTACCTCCCTTTGCAAACGACCTCCCTTCTCTGACGGGTCTGCGGTGTTTTAGAACTTGGCACTCTTTTATCTTTTGGGTCGGAAAGGAACGCGTTGGGTAAAATACTATCAAGAGGAACCTAGACAGAAGTCGTCTAGAAAGAGAGGTTTCATTCTCAGAACAAATCCTTTTGAATATCTATTATACGTATTATGTGTCAGGTCTAGGGCTAAAAAGCAGAGATGATAAATGGGGTCAGTGATACTATGGAGTGTGTGAGAAGTAGCTGGAAAAGTCAATGGCTTGAAGAAATTATTTGACATTTTATAGGTTCGTATTGTAGAGTCATTTAAGCAGTTGTCCCAAAATACTTTAGGATGTGTCACGGTGTAAGACCCTCCAGGAATCCTCACTGGATAAATCAGGAACTTAGTGGGCTACTTGGGCTTAGCTCCGTTTGGGTACTTGATTTGCTGCTGTCTTCCATGCCAGGTGAAGAGGTACTTTCAAGATCCTTCCCTCAGACCACACCTATTTATAGACTGGACCAATGCTACTGAAACATCATGTGTAAGTTTAGAGGAAATGAAAGTGCAGGCTACTTTGAAATAAATTCCCAGAGACAGATCATCATTAAAGAAATAGAAACTGAACTATGCTCCTCCTGTTGCCAAGCCCCTACTGTGGCGCGGTGTGACGCGGTGATTGCCTCGGAGCAAGACCCCGTCGCATCCCTCGCTGCACAAACGGGCCACCCACTCACGGACAAGAGAGCCATCTAGTGAGAGATTGCTCTCATTTCTGATGTAGGATTCTGCTCTTCAAACTTGAGCCAAAGGATGGAGATTGCTACTGTATATGAGCTAAAATGCTCTACATCTCTTTCCTGGAGTTTATTGGTTAGATTTTTTTAAAGATTTTAGCCAGAATAAAAATATTATGTAACATAATTACCCACTTAGTAATCATCAATAACAACCTTTTATGTCTGTGGATTATATCTCCAGTAAATAGTGTATTAGCACATATAACATTCCTGATGAGTGATCTGAGAAAATACTGCTATCTTCTCATTTTGTAAATAAGGAAACTGGGATCAGAAAGATGAATCCTATTGTTGGGCTGTTTATTCAATAAATATTTACTGAGCACTTGTATTTCAGGCCCTGTCCAGGGCACTATGGATAGATACCACGATGAAAGAGACATGGTCCCTACTATAGAGGAACCCATCTTCTAGAAGAGACACCAAACAGTAGAGAAGTGATGAGGATGCAGTATGATGTGTGCAGTAATTAAGGTAAGAACAAAGTACTTTAGTATGCAGATGAAGGTCAGAAATATAAATAATACTTGTATTTGATAGCCATGTTCCTAAGAATTTTATGATTCTTCAATAGCTTTACAATGTCCCTACAAATTAGATAAAATAGTAACAATTACACTTTACAGGTTACAAGACCTTGATACCCATCTTGAAAATAGCTTTGAAAAGTCAGTAGGACTCAGAAAAATTATGACCCAGAATTTACATAGTGCTTGATATGTTTTCCAGTCTCTTTCTTTTTACTTCCCCCCATTAACATATTTGTAGAATACAAGCATCTTTCTGCAATAGCTTTTATTCACTTTTTTCCCATGTAGATATAGCTTATATTAAAACCAAAGAAAGTAAAAAGATGTTTCTCATTCTGTTTACTAATTACCTGATACTAAGTTTTTCAGTTTGTGTCCAGATGACTTATGGAAAGATCATAAGCTAGTAGACCTGAGTGTGCATTCCAACTCTGCTGTGTCAGTCTCTGAACTTCAGTTTCTTCCTTGACCAAAATGGAAACTTTATTACCTATTGCAGGCTTCCTGTGAACTTTAATGGTGGTACATGTGACCAAATGAGTGCCTGACATACAACACAAGCACTTGATAAATGTTAATTTTCTTTTTGCCCTCATGTTCTTTTATATCAAACCAAAATGAACAATTTAAAACTCCTGTAGCATAAAGTATTTTTTTTAATAGTAGTTTAATCTTGCCTTTCTCTATAATACTCACAGGCCTGACCACACGCCCAAATCTATTCTCATTCAGCACTAGAAAATAGGTTCCTTTATCCATGGCTCTGATTACAGAAAAAAAATATAGTATCAAGATATTGTGAGTCAGATTCTAGACGGTTGAAACTTTTGAAAATCCTTTTATCACTAACAATAGTTTAATATAACCACATTGTTGCCCAACCAAACAGAGTAGACAGTTTTCAACCAGACACCAATTACTTTCTGAGAAGCTATTCGTAACATTCCTGCCAAATTTTCGCAAAGATTTGGTAACCTGACGTTTGGCAACCTGACACAATTAACACATAGTAAGCCTCCTCCCTTTTTATAATAATAGACCTCTCACCTGTTCCATGAAACCATAACAGGCACTAATTTATTTTAATATTTACCCACATATTCTGAATGTTTCCAAATTGTGTGCGCTATTAGGTACCCAAGAAGTGTGTTTCTATTTGGATGAGAAGACTGATTTATCAGATGCAGTACTCACGTTACACAACGTATGTGAAGCTGGCCTGTGCTCTTTTTAGTACCGCACCTCAGACCATGGAGCAAAGTGATTCAATCAAGTGAATGATTCATTCTGTTCAAATAATGAGTCAGCTACAAATTGACATTTAAACTTTGGGCTCCCATTGCTCAAGATATCTTAGACCAAGGGTCAGCAGCCTTTCTCAGAGAGTTGGTCATACAATGTCCCTACAAATTAGATAAAATAGTAACAATTACACTTTACAGGTTACAAGACCTTGATACCCATCTTGAAAATAGCTTTGAAAAGTCAGTAGGACTCAGAAAAATTATGACCCAGAATTTACATAGTGCTTGATATGTTTTCCAGTCTCTTTCTTTTTACTTCCCCCCATTAACATATTTGTAGAATACAAGCATCTTTCTGCAATAGCTTTTATTCACTTTTTTCCCATGTAGATATAGCTTATATTAAAACCAAAGAAAGTAAAAAGATGTTTCTCATTCTGTTTACTAATTACCTGATACTAAGTTTTTCAGTTTGTGTCCAGATGACTTATGGAAAGATCATAAGCTAGTAGACCTGAGTGTGCATTCCAACTCTGCTGTGTCAGTCTCTGAACTTCAGTTTCTTCCTTGACCAAAATGGAAACTTTATTACCTATTGCAGGCTTCCTGTGAACTTTAATGGTGGTACATGTGACCAAATGAGTGCCTGACATACAACACAAGCACTTGATAAATGTTAATTTTCTTTTTGCCCTCATGTTCTTTTATATCAAACCAAAATGAACAATTTAAAACTCCTGTAGCATAAAGTATTTTTTTTAATAGTAGTTTAATCTTGCCTTTCTCTATAATACTCACAGGCCTGACCACACGCCCAAATCTATTCTCATTCAGCACTAGAAAATAGGTTCCTTTATCCATGGCTCTGATTACAGAAAAAAAATATAGTATCAAGATATTGTGAGTCAGATTCTAGACGGTTGAAACTTTTGAAAATCCTTTTATCACTAACAATAGTTTAATATAACCACATTGTTGCCCAACCAAACAGAGTAGACAGTTTTCAACCAGACACCAATTACTTTCTGAGAAGCTATTCGTAACATTCCTGCCAAATTTTCGCAAAGATTTGGTAACCTGACGTTTGGCAACCTGACACAATTAACACATAGTAAGCCTCCTCCCTTTTTATAATAATAGACCTCTCACCTGTTCCATGAAACCATAACAGGCACTAATTTATTTTAATATTTACCCACATATTCTGAATGTTTCCAAATTGTGTGCGCTATTAGGTACCCAAGAAGTGTGTTTCTATTTGGATGAGAAGACTGATTTATCAGATGCAGTACTCACGTACACAACGTATGTGAAGCTGGCCTGTGCTCTTTTTAGTACCGCACCTCAGACCATGGAGCAAAGTGATTCAATCAAGTGAATGATTCATTCTGTTCAAATAATGAGTCAGCTACAAATTGACATTTAAACTTTGGGCTCCCATTGCTCAAGATATCTTAGACCAAGGGTCAGCAGCCTTTCTCAGAGAGTTGGTCAAATATATATTTGTTCATGTACTTCTAAGAGGGAGTCACTGAGCCTGAAAACAGAAAGCATTGCTTCCAAGATCCAAAAAGAAGAAATTTTTGATTTGTGAGGCAGTGAGGCAAAAATAGGAGAATGGTTGTTGGAGCTCGCTCTCTCCTCCTCCATTCTCCTAATATTTACTGAGGGAAACTTTATTAGTCTTCAAGAATTTCTTCCAACTTCCAGTGAGAAAATACCTCTAGGAAATCTAATCTTAAAATCTAATCTGCTAATTTAATGAACACAGACCATCTGGAGACAAGAAGAAATGCTCACAGGGAAGACTGAAGAGTATTTAAAAAGAAAATTAAAACCTTAGCCTCTTAAACTCTGTATTGTCCAAGGGCCTTAGTGTTCATAGATTTCTTTCTTACTCCAAACAGTAATACTGAAGCTATCTTGGGGTCCCTAGTCTAAAATCAATATATTTCATGTCAACATCTGTTGTATTACCCAGAAGCTGCCATTTTTTTCTTTATAAACACCCACCTAAAAGAAAAAGTATTTTAAATTTTATGTTTCTGATGTTCCTAATTTCTATAAGGTGGACTACTATTTTTGAGCACAGAATATAATGGTAATACTCATTGTCATAAATCTGCTCTTAAAAACCATGGGAAACCACATGTGTACACACATACACATCTTCCTCCTTTCCCTGCCTTTATTATTTTATCACCTCTGTTTGCAGTTCAAGTTAAAATGTAGTATGGATGACAAGCAGATAAACTCAAGATGTATGTTCATCCCTTCAAGGCATCATAAGTAGGTGTACCAAAGTACTGTTCTGCTTTGCTTGACTATCCTAGGGTCTTCTCAATTCTCAGAAAAATTCTAAATAGTTTTCCCATATTTATAAATATTAATATAATTAGATTGCTAGACATAAAGAGCACACTCCAGAACAAATTAAATAGTAATGTTTCTTATATTCCACATTTTAAACATATTAAGCTCTTAAAAGATTTTTATTTCCTAGCTTAAATTCTCCATTGGCTTTTCATTGCCCTTAGAATAAAGTTCCTAATCCTACAGATGACCTATGTAATCTGGTCCTTGTCTGCCCCTTTTCTAACATTTCCTGGCATCAACCACTGTAGCTATAGTAAGCTTCTCTCAAGTATAGGCACTATTCTTTTCTACTCAGAGCCTTTGCACAACTTGTCCCCTTATCTAGCCAACTCTTCTCCCTAGACCATTCTCCTCCCTTATGCTTCAAGCCTAAACCTGAATTTCTTTGGAAAAATATTGTGCCCGCACCCCCAAACCAATCAGGCTAGGTTAGCTACACCTGTTACGTATTCCCACAGCATCCTGCCCTTCTTCTTCATGGTATTTGTCATAATTATAATTCTTTGTTCAGTGACCATTGTCTCTAGTTGGCTGGTAAGCTTTGTAAGGGCAGATACTGTGTCTACTTTGCTTACTACTGTATTATCACTCCCCTAGCAGGATGGCTGGTACAAAGAGTACTCAATAAATGTTCAATGAATCAATACATCTTAGGGGAAAAAAACAGAAATTTGGACCATGACTTTCATATAAATGCTTACTATTCATGAACACCTTACTATGAAATATAGAAGTAATCCCTAAGCAATAGGAAAAGAATTTTACTAGACCTTCAACCCATCCAGGGAATTGAAATCTGCTATTACATTTGAAAAGATGCAGGTTTTAATTAATTGAAATTTGCTTTGGCAATGAGTAAAGAGCACGCTTAAAATATTATGAATAACTCATCGATTATTCCACAGCAAAGCTTCATACTTCAAGGTAGAAAAAAAAAGCCTTTAATGTCCAAATCACTTCTCTTTAAATTTTATGTTTTCTAATTTGGAAATAGGGGAAGTAGCTAACCCATTTATTATGTGGCAAAAGGAAAACACAGTGCTGGGGGAGGATGGCAAGAGAAAAGAGACGCTACCAGCAAATTGAAAAAATAGGATAGAAAAATTAAATTTAAAAATTCAGAAAGGAAACTGGATCAGAGTGTAGAATGGAAAGCTCCCTAATCATTGTATTTCTCACCAGAAAAGTATAAATTCTGGCATTAATATTGTTATTTTTTTCTCCTATAATTAGATAGGGCTAAATAAATTAAATGTAAGTTTCTTAAGGAAAGCACCATATGTAACTTCTAAAGCAAATGAAATATTTAAGTTGTGTTTCTGGA